ATAAAAGATATTTGGGACTGATTTGGTTATTGTGATAAATAACCTTTTTAATTTTTATTAGCAAGTGACCCTTTAAAAATTAGACAGTTGTTTTATCTATCTATCTATCTATCTATCTATCTATCTATCTATCTATATATATATATATATATATATATATATATATATATATATATATATATATATATATATATATAAATACAAGTGCGTGTGCAGAGAGAGAGAGAGAGAGAGAGAGAGAGAGAGAGAGAGAGAGAGAGAGAGAGAGAGAGAGAGAGAGAGAGAGAGAGAGAGAGAGAGAGAGAGAGAGAGAGAGAGAGAATATTAATAACCACTGTACGACACTTGGTAAAGTTTTATTTATACCTGCTGCTGCTGCGGCGGTGGCTTCTTCTTCTTCTTCTTTTTCTTCTTCTTCTTCTTCTTCTTCTGCGCAAGAATACTATTAAGAAAAAAAAAAATCAAAACCGTTTCCATCTTTCTTCTTCCAAAACGAGGGAGGACAGAACTCATGAGTAAATTAAACACTTTATTCACATCCATGAATCTAAAGAACATTTCGGATCTGTTTCAATTAGACTCCCTCACCATCTCCTTCCTTCCTCCCCTTTCTTCTCTTCCTTCTCCTCTTCCTCCTCCTGCTCTCTTTCCACGAATGTGAAACCGAGACGATTGCAGAAAACCGTTATTTCCGTTAGAGACAAAGGACGGTAAATAAATGCCCGTCGGTTGCACATGGCGAGAGTAAGAGAGAGAGAGAGAACGAGTTTTTGTTTTTCAGTCCTATTAGAAACCTTCCGGCTAATCAGTTCCATTTGGCTAAATAAGGTCAAAAGGTCTTGAGCAGGAACGGAAGGAGGTCATGAGAATGAGAATTTCATTAAGTTGCAACTGATGCTTATATGCACAGTTGAGGAGGCCTAAGGAACAGATGGGAAATAAACATGATTATAAACTGGCTTCGAGTAATGGTAAGTTTAATTCACTCAGCCTCTCCTCATAAGTGAGATAACATATCCCCCTTACCAGCTTCTAGCATGTTTTAACGTGTGTGTGGGGTAGGACAGCGATTAGAACGCTAGAATGGGATATTTGCAAGTCAATGTTCGAGCCCACCGTGGGGCGCTAGGAAGGGCATCCAGCCTTAATTCTTCAGATCCAGCATGTCTGCTTCCACCTCCATTCTGAAGGGGATTAATAGAGACACATTAAGCGGCACACAAACGCCAAACTGGCGAGAAAAAACAGGCAAATTTATGAATATTATCATGTCTTTTATGTCCTAGATCTGTAGCCCTACTGTTAATCTAAGAATTGGGATAGCAGGCCCGCTCAACAAGGCGCAGGTCCCAAGCTCGGATAACTGGGGAGGACTAATAACATGATTAAAACTTCGTGCAAGTATTCACTCGAATAGATAACTATTAGTAATTTATTACATATCCAGATATGTGGCCGCCATGGCCGGATGGCAGAGTACACGACTTTGAATAGTCAGGTCATCGGCTCGAGTCCGCCACGGTCTGAGGTTAGGAAGGACATTCGCTACAGTAACGGTCACACTCTGCCAAAACCAAAGTCTTTCGAGAGACGGCACCGGCCTAGCCCTTACTAGAAAAGGGAGTCCGTGACGTAAAACTGGATCATCATTATCACCATCACCCAAATATGTAGGATTGCTGTTAACTCAGCAACTGGGGTAGCAAGGTAGGTCAACAGGGCGCCGGTCTATATCTCGGATAAATGGGTAAGGCAGGAGTAAGGAAAGATATCCAATCGCAAAGCTTCCAAGAAGCTTGTGAGGAGTAGGAATCCTATATAAGCAAGTCTTCATATAAAAGAAGATGAAAAGAAAAGAAAAATAAAGAAGAATAAAAAGAAAAAGAGAGAAGAAGAGGATGAAGAAGAAGAGAAATAATAATAATAATAATAATAATAATAATAATAATAATAATAATAATAATAATAATAATTATAAGAGGAAGAAAAAGGAGAGAAAGAGAGAAAAAAGAGAAGAGGAGATTCTGTGCTATTAGCTTTAGCAAATCTCAGTTCAATACAGTGAAAACACAAATGACTGTCTTAATGTATTTGAAAATGCTTGAGTTTAAACGTAAATAAATTCTATCGACTTTTTAGTCGACTTTTACGATACACAGGGAAACACGGGGGAAGTATTTTTTCCACCCTCCCTCAAGGGGTAGTAAGTAAATTAGAATTAAACGTTAACAATAAGTTAATCTAATCTGGTTGACTTTTTAAGCTGATAAATCTATTCCTGACAGTCTACTTCGGTATAAGTTACCGCAAATAGACACCAAAAATACATTTATTTTGTGTTTTATATCGACGAGAAATTGTCTTTTTGGCACTTAGGAAAGCCCTTCACTGTGGCACTTCAGGTCACAGAGTGCTACTGACTCGCAAGTATAATGGACAATTTACTATACCAACTGCCTGAGGTAAGGATAGCTATTAACTTCAGTCCTCAAATCTCTCTTCCATTCACTCACAAAGCAAATCGCCCACGCTCGAGATATATTAAATAAATAATTAATAGTTTCCTTCTTCTTATATA